AAAAAAAAAAAAAGATGGCTCAGTGGACTAAGAGCCTGCTTTGGCAAGTGCAGGGACCAGGGTTCAATCCCCAGTCCTGCATGCTATGCAGGCCCTGCCCCCCAGAGCACACTGAGCCATGCGAGTCTGGGTGTGGTGGTACATCCCTGTAATCCTAGTGCTGGGGAGGCTGAAAACAGAAGGATCACCAGAGTCCGAGCTGTGTAGTGAGACCCTGTACCAAATACATAAAAAAAGAAAAATTTAAAAAAGAAAAGAAAAGAAAGAAAGGATCGTGGGCCAGTGAAATAGCTCAGCAGCACAGAGCCTGCCTGGCAAGCACAAGGTCTTCAATTAAGATAAATAGGGTGTGGTGGCACGCACCTGTAATTCCAGCACTTGGGAGGCTGAAAACAGGAGGATCACTATGAGTTTGATCTCTGTATTGAGATCCTGTAGATCCTATACTAAATACATTTTTCAAAAAAAAGAGGTTTTGTATCAGTAGATTAAAATCAGATATGAATTTTTCAGTCTTCCACATCTCAATGTAAGTTATAAAAAACCCTGAGAGGGGGGAATTACCCGCTTGGCCGCCCCCACCTCCTGTCCCTCTCTCTAGAGACAGGAGCTTTCTTTCTCTCAATAAATATATTTTGCTCATAAAAAAAAAAAAAAAACCCTGAGAATCAAAAATTCTTTTTTTTTTTTCAGTACCAGGAATTGAACTCAGGACCCTGCGCTTGCCAGGCAAGTGCTTATTCTACTCCCCAGCCCCTCAAAAATTCTTGAGGTGTTCAGATGTGCTGAGCAACCAGTTTCAACGTGAAAGCAAAAAACATAATTCCTAAAGGTGCACACAAACAAAATCTCTTCTGACTAAACACTATAAACATTTGATCTACTGGTCAGAAAAAATTCTCTAGTTTAAGATATTTAAGCTACTCAGAAGCTGAGACAGGAAGATAAAAAGTTTGATGCTATTCTTAATGATTCAGCGAGATCCTGTCTGAAAGAATTACTGATTATTATATGTGGATGCTCTAGCCACTGGAGTTGTAAACAAATCAAAGGAAGTTTTTGTTCTCATGGAACTTAAATGCAGAACATTTCCAAATAAATTAAAATTAAAAAAATTATGGGGCCTGCCAATTAGCTCATCTGTT